CATGTGAGAGCTGTTTTTGCAGGTATATCAGAAGTCATTCTCATAACGTGGCCAAGCCATTTCCATCTTCTCTTGGTAATTATACCGTCTAAAGTTTCTTGGTTTGTGGCTTGAAGTAGTTTGGTGTTTGAGATTGTATCTGGCCAGAAAATTTTGATAATTCTACGTAGACATGTGTGGTGGAAGGTGGACAGCTTGTGTGCATCCTTTTTGGTCATTCTCCAGCATTCCGCTCCATAAAGAAGAACTGGCAAAATGATGCTCTTGTAGAGTCGGAGTTTCGTTCCTCTGCAGTAATTGTTGTATTTCCAGATTTGCCTCATCCTTCCAAAAGCAGCTCTAGCTTTGTTCAGGCTGCTTTGTTCAACGCTGCTGTAATAACACATTGAGGTGAATACAGAAACTTTTTAAGGTGTTTTCAGTACAGGCACACTTTTTTTTAAACACTTTGAGTGCCGGCACTTTGATTCTCCTGGGAGAAAGCTCTAGGTACGAGGTAATAGCCTGGGTAATAAACGCAGCCGGCGGATATTTAGCACATCACCCACGTAGTTCAGATTCGTCTATGAAGATTATTAGTCTAGCTTCATGTGCTCCACGTAAAATGGGTCGTTTAGGCGCGTTTACTTACCAGATAAGTCACGCTGGATATTTAGAACCCTTTCCCGTGCCTTCAGGCCTACTGGGCATATAGGGCTGGACTTATGTTTTTTTTAGACAAAATGGCATTCGGTGGATGACGTGGTCAGCATCACGAAGGCCACCTTTACTTCCTAGGACTGCACATAGTACCCACTCAAGGCTGGGTAGACCGGGGAGGCAAGGTAATTTTTGGAAAAATTGGGGCTCAGCTGGATTTTGGCCACATAAATATCGAGAAGGAGCAGTTCGCTGGTTTGAGAATCAGCTGTACACACAAGTTGTGAGTTTTACCGGCTCACAGAGCATGCTAAACAAAATGATGGAGACTTGTATGCTCCAGGAAAAGTGACAAGCATCGCTTGAGAGGTCCTGGATGGCTGGCTTTCATTGGATATTTTTTCCTGGTCGTGTAGTGATGTAAGAGAATGAACAGGCAGACAGATTGGCTTATTTTGCACCAATGGGTGGTGACAAGCTAGATGCGATCAAGGCCGTTTTGGAGCAAGTGAACAATGCAGATGCACAAAATTATCATTTTGATCTGGGGCAAATGGTACAGTTGGGAGTAAAAAGGGGATCTGGTCGATACTATACACTCAGAGAAAAGTAATATATAATCAAACTGTCACTGGCATTATCGAAACTGGAATTCCCGTGCATGCTTCGTCCTCATCTTTAGCAGCCAGCGCAGAGTTCCAATACTGATGGTACCGGTCACAATCTGGTTAAAGTCCGTCTTGCCTTTCCTCTCAGTGTACTGAGCCGGCCAGACCCTCTGGTTACACCCAGGTGCCACATTCTCTCCAGGCCATAATAATCTTCTTTCTCTACTGATTCCGCTGCTTGTTCACAAAGGGGATTTACCACATTTACCTTGTCATATATCAATTCACCACTCAGTGGTGCGGATCCAGCCAATCTGTCCGCCTGTTCATTACCCGCTACGCCGGCATTACTCTATTTTGTGTTGCTTAAGTCGTTCTACTCACGAAGAGAACTGTTGGCCGACATCAGAAGGAAAAGATCTACGTTATTTGACCATGTCATGAGAAGGAGAAAACGAGTAACGACTGTGGGAAAAGCTAGATGGGAAAAGAAACAATGGGAGACCGAACGAGAAGATGCTGGACAGTTTGACATCAAGGCATGGAAGATCAACTGTGTCAGAAATGACTGAAATTACACGAGACAGAAGGTTGTGGATAGAAATGACTAGAAACGACATACGGCATGGACAAGAAGAAGTGTTGCTTACCTGGGAATATAGAAACACAAACCAGATACAAGATGGCGAATATAAAACTCATTTTCATCTACGTGAATAGCACGTGAACCTGAACAAGTGCAAATTTATTGCGCCGCCTGATATCATTATTCTGCATGTCCTAAATTGCTTTAGTGTGACACTTATAATAAAACTGTTGTAGTCGATATCATGTGATCTGGGTGTTAAAACAATTGTATTAGATTTATCATAGGGAAGCGGTTGATGAACGGCTAAAACGCGGGCCTCTCGTTTGTAGGAGTGGCTTCTAATCTTAGGGAAGGTAATAACAATTTGTTTTCGCTCCCAGTCAAAATCATCAGAGTCAAGACCCTATTGTTTCATAATCATCATGTCTCTTCTTCTTCGCATTCACCGGCTGTAAACTCCGCCGGAAAGTGCTGGTTGTTCATCCACCTCTGGATTTTAAACTTGTTCCAGAACCTGAGTTTTGAGTGAAAATCCATTTTTTAGATCTGACTTATTTGTCTGCAGACTGTTGGTTCCTTGCCTTTCAGGCATATGCACTCCGACTTCAAAGGAAAACCCCAAATTAGTCGACTCTTAGGACCTACTTGTTGGGGAAACAGTGGGTCTATTCTTGTTTTTCCCCACAACTGGGCCCCGGAACCCAGACGGGGAATAATCATTAAGTGCCTCACTGACTGGCAAGGGCGATCATGCCTTTTCAGATTCTGCGATCACCAACAGCATGTCTCAGTTTGTGCGCTGACACTATTGCATGCCATGAAAAAAAGGCTGTTAACAATCTTTCAGTGTTATCTTCTGTTTTTTTTTTCTCTACATATCTTTCCAGTGGTTACATGTTTCAGTTCACTTTATTTCGAAATAGGAGAAAGACGTTATGACTGTCTCTTTTTGATGTTTGTGAAGAGATGTCTTCGAACAATCACCTATTTCAAAATATCCGGGCTCGCTTTTTGTGTGGCTGTCCAAGGAATTCAAAGAATTCTCACGTCCTTCTGTTTCTTCTTCTTCTGCCTTCTATATCCCAAACGGAGCATAGGTTTAAAAGTGACAATATCTTTAATGCTTTTATCATTATTACAGTTTCGTTATGTGTTCCGCATCATTGCTCCATTAGGACCCGAACTTGTACACTTATTTTATCTGCTGTATGTTCAAAAAGTTTAACTACTTCAGCACAGATTAAAACTGAAGTAAATAAATAATTCAAAAACTTATTGTTGGTTGAAAACAAACGAATAGTTGAGCTGAATTTAACCGAGGGGGAAAAAAAGGCGTAAAATACATAATTGCACACGGGTATTATACATTCTAAATTCGACATGGTCACAGTCATGATGCAGTGCCTTATCAACAGACTTGAGAGATCCTGCTTCGCCATATCGTGTGATTTCCAAGGCACTAACACAAAGAAGACAGTGGGCGTTGCAGGGGTCTCGGAGGGAGTGTGGCGGGACCTCAAGTTTTCTAGGTAAGCATTTTCGAACCTCAGTTCAGTGCGTAATAATAATAAAATAATCAATATAATAATAATAATAATAATAATAATAATAATAATAATAATAATAATAATAATATGCTCAATGTGGAGATTCTAATGCTCATGACAACCTTTGGAAGCACTTATAACGTGGTTCTCATTGAACACGTATATAGTAAATGCAGACTTACCAGAGGTGGAGATGGATCAAGATCTTGAGGGTTCGTACCTACCTCAAGATAAGCTCAGATCTAAAGCACCCTTTGCACCAGATGCTCTTCGTGAAAAGGGGAAATAGACTTTAAAGGAGCAAACCATGGCTGGGTAGGATAAGGTCTGCAGCGTTACAGATTTCCATTCAAGTGAAGAATGGATACCAGCGTCTAAAGCGCCCAATCTTACATTCTCCAGTGTCGTGACGCTTGATAGTAGTTTCAGGAGGAAAGTCCCGCTTCTATCAATGCCCAGGTATGCGCGCTTACCAGGTCAGATGAGATAGATGTGATGATATTCATAGACTGGTCCGTTATACGAGGACATGAGAGTGCATGGGTATTTACAGCTCGCTCTTGAACGAATGAATGAATTTCTACCCCACCAGGGCATCACACAAGCGATAAACACCCGATGACACAAAGTGCCACCTTGTGGGTGAGGATCACCGTGGAGAGGTCCCAGAAACCGCGTTCAGACAATTGGTCATATTTATGGCCTGCCTATATTGCGGCCCCTGGCAAAAGCCAGAGTGGGGCTTCAAATAACAAAAAAAAAAAAAGGACGTAAGGATGTAAGCTCGCTCTTGAGGTAGAACAGTTTAAGAAGTCCGCGATGCCTTCTTCATGACCACCAGCAGCATGACGATAGAGGTGATGGCGGTGACACAAGCTTTCAATTGGCTAGAATCACAGGACTATTCCCGAGTGTGAGTGATTATTTGAGCTCGATCCAGCTGGTTTCACAGACAGTGGATTAAGTTGCTGCAAAACTCTCCTGTGTGTGCAGTTACTTTAATATTTTTCCTAGGGTATGCAGGTATTGTTGGTAATGAAAGAGTTGACAGACTGACAGGTGCTGCATTATTTGAAGATGGCCGGCCTATGGATTACGCAGAAATAATGCCCTTAGAGAGATATGATGTTCTGAGGATTTTAGAAGCAACATGACTACATCACTGCTAAGCATATGAGAACTGGGAGTAAAGATTGGCATAGCCAAGCATGAGAAGCACACTGGACGTACACAAAATCTTGTCAACCACCATGGACTGGCACTATTAACCGCGCGACGCTGATGAATATGTTGAGAGGGGAATCTGAGCACCTATGGATTTGTCTTGAGTGTGAAGATAATCCAACTCATGCTGAATGGCAAATAAATACACTAACACATATAAATATTACAAAAATGTATAAGCAACCACTTGAAAGACAATTTTAATGCATGTCGGGGCTGGGAGTAGGAAGGGGTGGCGATACACATAAATCCTCATTCTTCAAGTGAATTGTTAAATCACACACTACACACACACAATAAAATTTGTTTGGCTTTATTTTTAATCGCGTTTGGCCTTAAATAACAAAATAAGGTAACCTGGCAGGCTCAGAAAAATCTGGGAAGACAAACAAGATGGCTTCTCTGCTGTTGAGGTCGTCCTCATGCATCGTTAGACGGTCAATTTCAGCCGCATCTGTGAGATGTGCTAGCGGTCCACCGTCAAAACCAGAAGACATACACAAGGGGAAAGTTTGTAAGTTGAATTGAGATAGTTTGTATGGCCTTGATAGTGATTGCTGTTGCTGCTATTATAATGACCTTCTTAGAGAAGGACAGACGGACGTGACTTCGATAGATGATCTAATGGGAGGCCAGAATTGTCCCTTTTAGTTTTTTTTAGTTATCTACTAGAAGAAGCAGTGTTGCTAATTCTTGCATGTATAACTATTAATGCTTACACAGATTTTGTGTGTACTGGGTGTAGGACATGTATTTAACAATCAGCACATTTGTTATTTGCTGCAGTTAGGAATGTCTCCAACCATCACAGAGACCTTTGAAGTCTCCAACATTTTCGGAGAAATTTTCCCTGCTTTCGATCAAGTGTCTTCCTCACCTGCTTAGTCAGTGTAATTGTCATTTTTACCCTGGGTCAATCCTTTCATATTTCTGATGCTTCAATTTTGTGCTGGGTCTAAATTCTGTAGTAATTTATTGCCAAACGTATCTTTTAATAAACTGCTTTAAAGTTACTTTTATAGTTCAGTTCAGTGAAAGTATTAATTATATCCTGTTTCTTTCTGCCGTTGTGCTGGCTGCCCCTATAATAGAGTGTAAGTCTCTTTCTCCAGGCACCATACCTTTCTTGCTACTGGCACCTTTCCAACCAGTAGAGATGATGCGATCTTGATTTCCTTGTGTAATTTGTGGCCAAAAGTGTCTTTAAATTTGTACAGCTTATACATACTTATTCATACTACTAAATAGCTTTCACATGCGATGCCTAAGAAGAATACTTGGCTATCCTCCGTATAACAGTCCTAAATTATCGAGGCGGAAAATATACCCGAACAGGGCCTCTGTCACGTGTAACGTGCGCACTTCCGGAGACTATAACGCCACCGCCGAATTGCGAACTTCTGACAACTTCCGCCACCGCCTAGAGTATCCCCTATGCCGCTCGCGAGGCATGGATTGGTGCTGAACTAGATGGCTAGGACTCAACGAGCAAATGAAATAAAAAAAAGCTGCAGGAGTTGCGGTAGCTGCTGCTCATGAGTCCCAGCCATCTAGTTTAGCCCTAATCCATGCCGCACGGGCGGCGTGCGGATACTCTCGGTGGTGGTGGAAGCGCGCAATTTTAGGCGACGGAAGTGCGCAATTGACACGTGATTGAGGCCCTGTTAGGGTATATTTTCTGCTTCAATAATTTAGGCCCGTTATTCTGAGGATAGCCGAATACTTGGCATTAAGTGGCAGGACAAAATCACAAACGCTAATGTACTGGAAAGAGCAGGTACTACAACAGTCTTTTCCATGCTCAGTCTACGAAGGCTCAGGTGGCTGGGTCACACCTGGAAAATGAAGGATGGCAGTCCCTAAGGACATCCTTAATGGTCAAATAAAGACAGGAAGAAGATGTTGAGGCCGACCTCTACTACGGTAGAAAGATGTTTGCAAGCAGGACATGGATGATACGCGTATTGAGGTGGACTCATTGGAACAAAATCCCATGGACTGTGTTATGTGGAAAGGGCATATCAGGAAGGGAATGAGAGTAAAGGAAGAAATGATTGCAGAAAGGATGAGAGCTGAGCATCTGAAAAGAAACACAAAATGTTGACAACAATGGTCCTGAAATTGCATGCTATCATTGTTAAATACTTTTCTTGACACGAGCAGGTCTTGCTAGTCACACTCACCATTGCCATGGGTTGTGAGTCTCATGCCTTCTCATAGCTAGCGCAATATAACACTATCGTTTGGAAAGATGAAAAGGTGCCAATCAATCACTTATACTTATATAAAGTATATTATACTTAACTGGTCTGCTGTTGTGCTGGCTGCCGCTGCCTCTATTTCGAGGCACCATATTGCCAAATCTTCCTTGCCATTGGCACCTTTCCAAACAGTAATCTATAAGGTGACTTGAAAATCAGTCCATGGCGATGACAGATTTGACCAGCAAGAATAGGACACCAGGTTACTTTGTAACCGGGTGTCCCAATTTACCATATATTTTTTTTTTCATGTATCAGATGGTCCCTATTTTAAAACACATTCTGTGTATAAGACGACCCCAGTTTGAACCTTAAAATATTTGGGAAACCACATCATCTATATGGTAACTGGTTTTTTTTTTTTTTCACGTTTACTTACTGTAAACTCTGGTGAAAGCTTCTGGGTGTTCGTCCATCTGTGGTAGATAGGCTGCATGCAATTGTGGGACCTAGGTGGGTTAGGGCCAGTTCTAGATATTTTGGGGTTGTTAAAAGCATCAGACAGCTGGGAAACTCGGTCTAACCACCCTCTAAAATAATTGGACTGTCCTGTAATGTCATCTGTAGTCGGATATTGTGAAAAAGATTTTTTTTTTTTTATAAAGTCAGAGTGCATCTGCTTAAGAGGCAAGGAACTAATCAGTAGTCTGCATACACATAAGTCAGATCTGTTGGAACAAAAAAAAAAAACAGATGTGCATGCAAAACCCAAGTTCTAGACTGGACAAAGACCAAAATCTAGGAGTTGATGAACAGCCAGAACATTCTGCTGAAGTTCACAGCTGGTGATTGCTAAGAAGGAAAAAAAATATGAAGATACTGACAGGTGAATTTATTTCATTTGTATTGTAGATAACTTAAGGGAGAAAGAATGTGAGTTTGCTCAGATCATTTATTTATGTTGTTTTCTATCTTTAGTCTCTGATCAAGTGGGGCTTCCTGATGCTTTTGGTCATTCTGTTGGGCATGAGCGTGAAGAGCTTCTAGCTAGGGCAGCCGGAGATGAGGTTTGAAACATGCTTGTTGTGTCTCTGGTGTAATCATTTAAAAAAAAAAAATCCTATCTAGTTTTCGTTTGTCTTTTTTGAAATATGAAAGCTAGTTGCATGTCCTTTATTGGGGTGTTGCAGAACCAACACCTGCATAGTTTGCCATTACTTGCTGAACGATCAGCTCTCGGTCCCACTATTAAAACCAATACAAGACATTCTGCTCCCTATTCGCCCACAGATAAGATCGAAGCCAGCATTATGAAGCACGTTTGCAGCGCCTGAGTCACAAATGCTGTAAATAAGGGAGTACTCAATAAATACAAAGTAAAGCTTTAAGTGGTATACACTATCTGGGACCTTTAAAAACAAAAGTGTATCTGGCGGCTCTTTAGTGAACAACAGTGCTCAACAGAAGTCAGAAGAAGAATTGCATTAGCAATGCAGGAATTAAAAAACATGAAGAACCTATGGCAAAGCACCAGCAAATTGGTTAAAGTGAAAATCTTGAGATCATGCATTTTTCCTGTGGCAACTCATTCAGTCATTGAGGAAAAAGATTGGAGCTTTTGAATTGAGACGTTGAAGAAATATTTTTTTTTTAATACCATGGATCAAGAAGACACATCGAAATTCCAAGCGAGTTGAACATCAAGGAGAACTAGCTCATAAACAGCATCCTGTCCCAAAAGTTGAAGTATTTGGGCCACATGCAGCGTCATGGTGGCTTGGAAAAGACGGTGATGGAAGGTGCAGTTTGTGGAAGGCGAGGCAGATGTCGACACCGCGAAGATGGATACAAGACATTGGGGATGCATTGGCATTAAAAGCACATGGGGCCAGAGAACTGGCTAGAAAAAGTGATACTTTCAGGCGTGCCGTGAAGAAAGCGACCTTCTGTAAAGGACTTGCTGATTGATTATGATGATCTGGCAGCTCGTGCTGTGACCTCCATCACTAAGGTTTATAGAAGTTTGCATCAACTTGCTTCTATAAAAGGTAAATTATACTCACACAGCATGCTTTGGAAAATAGAACCTGGCCTCCTGTGCATAGAATCTGGTCATCTTAGTTTCACCTTCATAGCAAACGGGTCACCCCATAGTTGCTCTGCCAACGAAAAACACACAGAATTTTTATCACAGTCCTTTGTGGAAAGATTGACAGACTGCTGTCTCAGCGAATGCACTAGCATACACAGGCATTAAAAGCATACGGTAGCCATTAACACAAAAATTCTGACATTAGAAGTGCAGTTCATCGTGGATGGTAGCAGAAGTCACCAACAGATCAGCAGTTGCATACGCGATCAATTTTAATCACATTATGTCACCACCAATATTACGAGAACAGGCATCACTCCATTTTCTGAATCTACAATTCACACCACCACGTTGGTCACAGTCAAAAACATTTCAAATGAAATCCGCATCTCACAGTGTCACGCCATGCACTCAGGTCAGAAGTTGGGAGACAAAAATATATCCTTTGTCTACAAATGGAGCAAAAATGCAACGGCCACTGTCTGACAGAAGCAAAAAATTTGCCGTGTCTGGCATCCATTTTGACCGGAAGTGCATAGAATGGCTTGCATTGCTCGATAAGACTTAGATTGGACATACATCATGGATTTGGGGGAGGGGAGTGGTTGGGTGGCAGGTGGAGATTTGAGGTGTGTAGGTTAAAGAGTGCGCTGATAGATTAGCTGCTGCAGCTTCTCTGGGTTTTGAGCTGCTTTTATTGAGTCATTTATTCAGCTGTGATTTTCGGGAAAGGGTCACTGCAGAAATGGCTGTGTATTGGCATTTACAGAATTGTATTAAAATCTTAAGTGGCTAGGTTTAGCATCCTTGGGGCAACAGAGTAATTTTGTTTAAAGTGCCAGTGAAAGTTGCAATCTTCCAAAGACAAAAAGTAAAGTCAGTAAAGGATGCAGTCTTGCAGAGAAAATTGCCAGTGGTGCTGCTCTGAATTCCCTCCATGATATTGCAGTGATTGCACAGGGTAGAGCAGAATAAAGGACTAGAGTGCTCAAGAGCATGCTGTGTTACTAGGATACCCTGTAGGGAGATCTTAGTCTTGTTCCTTGTCATTCTAGTTCTTCGCATTCACCAGTGGAGAATTCTGGTAGTCTTATTCCAGAAACAAGTGTTTTACATATTTTTTTTTGGGTATTTTGTTGTTGTTGCAAACCATTGATTACTCGCCTGTCAGGCAGATGCACTCAACTGATGGAAACATCCCTAATTAGTCAGCTCTTACGCCATGCTTGCTGAGAGGCAGTGGGTCTATTTCCCCCACCCTCCCACAATGTGGCCTAAGAACCCACGTGAAGACCATGTGGTTCCACTCCACATATCTTGATTCCTGCCACCCATATCATCATTCATGGATGCCTAAGCTCTGTCTTTTTGATATAGATTCATATCATGCATTCATCTTTATCATCTAGCGTTTCGTTAACTCTGTTAGTCACAGGGGATTTAACTTTAGAGGTCCAGTGGATGTTAAAGAGAAAAATATAATCGCAAACCTGGTGTTCACTGGGTTTCTAGGTAGGAAAAAATGATTGCATGATGCATCTCTTCCCCCAGCAGATACTGCCTACTATTAGAAGGCACAATGTTTTGTGTTTTTTCCACTTCGGTAGCTTTAAATATCATGTTTTAAACAGAACTTCATGCAGCGCTGTATGCAAAACAGAAATATTGAATATCACTTGGAAAGGGGAAAATGAATCTATGTGCATTTATCTATCCCTTGCATGTGAGACCTCTTGGTCTGCTGCCATTTTTTGTAATTTTCTTTGCATTAACCGGCAGTTAAGTGATAGTTGTTCACCCACCTCTGGACTTTATTCTTGTTCCAGAATCTGAGTGATGTGTGCGCATCTGTTACGCAGATCTGATTGACATGTATGCACATTTTCAGGTTCCTGCCTCTCAAGCAGATGACTTTTGAAGGATGGCCCTAAGACTCTTACAGCATGCATATTGGGGAGGCAGTGGGTCTATTCTTGTTGTCTGCACAATGGGGCCCTGGAAGCAGGGTCATTGTCTCCCACAGGGTTTTCTGGGTTGCAGTATATTATGACAGAAAGGAGTTAATCCACTGGACCTAAGGAGTGGGGGGGGGGGGGGGTAATGTTCTCTCCTCTCCCACCCCCCCCCTTCTTTTCACCTTTGTTGAGTGTCTTAGTCACAGTTCAGGGGATTAATTTCTTCATACTAACTTGACTGCGGTCACTCTAGTTTTAAATATTTTTTGGTAGTTACCATGTTTGTCCAAACCATTTGATCTGAAGTCTGTCTCTATGTAGTTTGACATCTTGTTTCCTGATATCGTTATTTTCAGCTAGGATTCCTTTCCCCATGGGGTTTCCGGGTCTCGCTGTGGGGAAAACAAGAATAGCCTAACTGGTGCATCTCTTATTAATGTGCGCATGTTTTGCAATGTCCTATGTGTAATGTTTGTTTTGTTTTTGACAGGATCCATATTTAATGAACGTCATAAAAAGAGCCAAAGGAACTTTCCAGGAGCCAACAATTATTACCTCTAGTTTTAACAAAAGAATGGTTGGCTGCATATGTGAGTATTTGTTTTTTTTTTACTTTCTTGTCGCTTGTATGTAAATACTAACTAAGTCACTGCTCTGTGGCGCGGTGATTTAGGTCACAAGCGTGAGGGAAAGTTAAGTCTGATGTGATGTGTATAAGGAGATACTCTGTACCTCACTAGGGCGCCAGTCCTTCACTGTTCTGGTTTTATGGAACCTCATGCAAGACTCCTGCTGCACGTCCTCGTCATGCGCCGCGGATAATGTCTCAAATGAGCATCAACAGAATTGGCAGGGGATCTCGGAGCTGGCGGATCTTAGAGGTGTAGTGTCCTTTCTGGTCCTCATCAGCCTGCCCCCAAACGCATGGGTGAAAAGTCTATCAAAACTCATTCGGTACATGAGTAAAGTCTGCTTGGCAAATGTACTACCAAATGACAACTCTCAGTTAAAAGTCTGGAGTGAATGGAAAACTGTGCTGCTGTGACTCAACCCTTGACCAAGTGGTTTCTTGCAGTCAGATCCTTTGTAAAACCCTCTGTCAATCCTCAGCGTCGTCTTCACCGGGCTGAGGTACTCAACGACAGAAACTTTTCACCTCCTGGCTAGGTAATAATGCCAGACAAAGTCAGATCCTGTGGCACACAAGCAAGCTCAAAGTCCGAACATCATAAATCGTACCGATTAGAAAAAAAAGTCTAAGTGTCCGTATACACTGGTCCCACTCGCCCGAGTGTTGGGACCAAACAGGTGAAGCTACGCCTGATGCATGATTCCGGTCGGGCTAAGGGCACAGTTGAAACAACGTTAAAGGTGTCTAACGTGCAATTAAGAAGAATGTACCTATTTGTGTGGTCACTAAGTCCAGAACCCACGGGCTGCTTCCCGCTGATCTCCGGAGGGTGCAGCCGGTGTTGAGCGGGAAGCCTCATACAGTTGTGAGGTTAAGTAGTCATGTGCAGGACGTGATGATTCCTTGGGTGAGCCCAGAACCAGAGCGTTATGTATCAGCTCTGCTTTTATTGAAGCCTCCTTGGATGGCGGGGAATGCCCATGATCTGCCCCTGCCTTCCCTTGAGGGCTAACCGTTCCACACGGGGCTGCTCCAAAGGGGGTACTCCGGGGGCAACACCTGCTGAGAAAGGGACAAAGAGGTCACCACACAAAATAAGGTAATATCTCGAACCACACAAAACAATGGCCACAGTCATCCTAGAAATAGAACTGACGTCTTCCCTTAAAGTCGGAGTACATCTGCCCGTGAGGCAGGGAACGGCAAAAGCCAGTAAAACGGTTGTACACGCAAAAAACTCAGGTCCAGGTAAAAGCCAAAAGTTCAAATGGACGATTAACCGGGACCTTCAGCAGGTGAACGAAGAAGAAGTCACTGCTCTTCTACCTTGGGTTGTAGTTGGGCTTCTCTATCTGCAGTTTTCTTTCTGGCTTTGTTCCATTCCTTTGTTAGTCAATGGACTGTCGGATGTTGTCTTCTCTGAGTCACCATGGAGGTCTGGTTTCCTGGTTCTTAGCCGCTCTTGCCTGCCACGTTGGCCGATTTTTCTCCCATTCTGCATACATGTCCAAACCATCATAACTGACTGATCCACTCAGGTTTGGAGGGCCTGGGTTTTAAGATCTAGACTTATTGTCTGGTTGCGAATTTGATCCCTTCTTGTGACTTTGACTACCTTTTCCCGATATCTCATTTCTAAGGCCTAAAGCTGGCTTCTATGAGCTGTTGTCATTACCCATGACTCACACCTGTATTGCATGTAAGTAAAGGTTGCTTTGTGCGCCCATGAGGCATCAGATCAGGCTAGGCTAATATTGTCATAGCCCAATTGGCCCTCACTACATGATGTGGTCAACATCACACCGGTTATCTTACTTCCCAGGACTTTACCTGGTACCCATGTAGGGTTACCTTGTGCTTCAAATCACAAGGGGAAAAGAAATAAAGGCAGACGGGAAAGAAAGAAAAACCATGTAGAAGGGAGCTAGAGAGTGAAATTAAAAGGATGGGGAGGACTTTGGAGGAGATGCATTTGATAGCTCAGCCTTCCTAATGCCGCGACCCTTTAATACAGTTCTTCGTATTGTGACCCCCTGATCCCCCCAAGGGTATATGCCTGGGAAGAGAGGAAGGGGAAGGCCAAGGAGAAGATGGGTGCAGGATGTGGCAGATGATCTCCAGATGGGTGTATCAGACGCAGGACATCTTGCTCATGATAGGAAGGTTTTCCGGAGGGTTGTTATGGCAGCGAGGTTCCGCGAGGGACATGCTACTGAATGAATGAATGAATGATCCCCCCAAACATACAATTATTTTTGTTGCTACATCATAACTTCAGCTATAATCTTTGGCAACCCCTGTGAAAGGGGGTTGGGATCCACAGGTTGAGAACTGCTGGGATAGAATGACATGGCGTGACTTTCTAGGGCCTGTGTTCCATTAGGGGTAAAAAAAAAGTACAAATATCTGCCAGAATGCCCGGCCTTTACTGCTTGTTTTTAAACTTTTTTTGTGTGGCGTGGTGGGGTCTTTGAGCCTTATGATTTAAGGCAGCATTGGCACTGCAGACTACATACATCACCATCTATAGATTGTAGGAGCACCAGAAGTGCTGTAATGATGGTCCTCACTATCAAGGTGGTGGGGCGTGTTTCTCTCTGGCTTGGCTTAAGACTGTTGGTCGACAAACCAAGAAACCAGCATTGTAAAACATCTTTTTTAGAATCAGATTTCTGGCTGTCTGTGTTATGGTGGTTCATTCAAGCTTGTTGAATTCAGTCACATTCTTGAAAAAGTCAACAGGTTTACATATCTAGGGAGTAAGATGACAAATTTAGGGGATTCAGCACTAGAAATGTCATCTAGACTCACACAGAGACGTTCAGCAAACAGAAAAAACTTGAGATCTTCAATCCTTGTGTAATTCCAGTGCTTACTTATGGATGCGAGAGTTGAAAAGCAATGGTAGCGCTAGATTTTTTTTAAAGATTACACAATTTTGGGAACAGATGTCTTAGAAGAATACTAAATCACTACTGGACAGATTTCATATCCAATACGCAAATAAGACAAGAAACCAAGCAAGATAATATTTTCAATTTTATAAGAAAGTGCTACTGGAACTACAACGGTCATGCTCTAAAAGCGGATATCTCCAGACTCCCATATGGACCCCAGAAGGAAAAATGAAACGGCGAAGACCAAGATAAACCCTGCATAAAACCATAATCAGGGAAGGCTCAGGCATGGGCCTGATGAACATCCAAGACCTAAAACAGGTAGCAGCCTTGAAAGCTTTGACCTCTGCCGTATGCGCCGCCCTTGGCTCAGAAGGAAAGACTAATCATAAATTCTCATTGTAACTAACATTGTCCTTTCTGACATCTCTGTTACAGGTGAGGAGGATGCCCTGAGCATCAACTGGATGACTGTCTACAGAGGAGAGCCCAAGCGCTGTGAATGTGGCTATTGGTTCAAGCTGGCCGACAGCCCTGCTGGACAAGGACATGGGCATCACTAGAATGTTTGAACATGCCAAGCTGTTTATTGTGCTAACTTGTAGATGCTCTGGCTATCTTTCATTTGTCTGTGCCCCTTGCACTTCAAAATTGTGTTAGTTATTGTTTCTCGGGCTTTGATGGTTCTTTCAAATAGGGTGTCTTTGGGAAGGGGGGGGGGAGTTATGCATTGGTCTTCTCGACCAAATGTTAATTAACTTTACTGTTTGACAGGGACAAAATGACGTAATCATTACAGTTGTAGTTTTCAGTGTTTGTTGTGTGTAGTTGAGTGTTTGGGGGGGCAGTGACTTTAGCATGACTTGTTTACCAATTGTTTTACTGAAAGTGAACAAGGTTATTGTTTAATGAATACATTGACGTCACAGCTGGTCTTGTGTTGGTTTTGGTTTATATATTTGTGAAATATAGGGCGTTCCAAATGTCCCTCCATAGTCAGATTTTTTGAATGAATGAATCAAGAATTGACATTGCACTTATGACATTCCCACACCTGCTCCGTCCCATTTTTTCAGCAGCCATTAAGGAGTCAGCATGCTAATAGCACCAGTTAAGAAACGTAATTACATGTGCTATGGTCTCTCTCTCTCTCTCCCCCCCCCTCCCCCTTTCCTACCCAACAACCACTGAATTAGTGTTTCCGTGAATGATTTCTCTGTTCTGTTGCGTTGTCCATTTGGTCCCACATAAGCTTCACAACTTCAGCTTGATCAGAAATCCGCTCACAGAATGTTTGCAAGTGAATCAGCAGGTTAATCTGCACTAGAAACTAAATATGAAAGGCGGAGTAGAGAAAAAGGAAAGGTGCCTGGGAGGGATGGTCCCTTAGCAATAGGTGAATCCCACCAGCAAATGGGAAACTTGGTTGCTATGCAATAGGCATGGTGGTAATTACATTGGATAAGCCAGATTTGTTAGTTTGCTCTGACTAAATGTTAAACTCCGACACATTGAGCTTTGAAGAGATGGTGTCACTCAAACACTGCATTTTTTGGGGTTAATAAAGGAGTTAATGTCACTAGTCCTCCCTTTGCGCAATGACCATTACAACATCTAGTGCAACAAAGCCTGGCATATGACACTACAATATCTAGTTTGAGAATGGAGGTGGAGGCTGGCTTGAGAATCAGCTCCGCATGTAATTGAAACACAAGGCTGCCATAGCATGCGGAGACCACATTCTGCCTGAAGACTACTGGCAAGTTCCCCTACGTTACAAATTGGTGGAGGGGTTCAAGGTGGCAAATGACCACGCTGTCTATGGATTTGTTGATGTTAACAGTATACTATGTGTCACTGACTTCACTAATGTAATTTGATGTTTGAGCAGGAAGTAAACAGTCCATGCCAAGAAGAAAGTGAAAATATAAAAAAGTAAAGAAGTAAAGATCCCTTATTACGCCTGAAGGGCATATGGGCAGAGCGTCCCATATTTTTACAGACCAATCGGCACTCGGTGGGTAATGTGGTCAGCATTACGCCGGCCGTCTTTACTTTCCCAGGACAGCCCATCCTGGTACCCATTTTAGGCTGGGTCGACCTGCGACGTTCCATACCACGATAAAAATCCACGCAGCCTGCAGTGGGTTTCGATCGCGGCACGCTGGATTACGAGTCCGACTCGCAACGCCTTAGCCACGGACGCCGCAAGTGAAAATATGGACATGCTAAAAATAGTTTTTGAAAACAGACCTTTGTGTAACAAACAGAAAGCATTTTGATTTGTCAACACTTAGGTAGAGGGACATTGAGAAGTGCTGAGTTGATTAGAACGCACTCAGCAAACCTTTACAGGGAGGGACTGTACGAGGTCTGGCTACACCTGAAGAACAAACACAGTGCTCTCTGTCGGGCTAATATACTTTTCTTCGGTTTTATATCTTTCCTTGGCATTTCACGGAGGGCGACTATTTAGAGGTTGAGAAAATCAGATTTTAGGGCAGAAAGATAAGGAAATTCACAGGAAATACTCACATTTCATGTACCAACAGATAAATATATTAACATGACTGGATGTTTAAAATGAAAAGATGGTGACTTATTAATGGGACATAGTAATATAATGAACAGAGTATAAAGGGGAATTGTATGATGATAATATACCAGATGTAGAACTGCAGACCAACAATGATGGTCCACCAATAATGACTGCAGAAGTTGAGGATGCATTGCATCATATAAAGAAAGGAAAAGCACCCGGGCCTGACATCTCACTGGAGAAAATTGAAGCACTGGGAGATTTAGAAATTGAAATAACTTTTAAATGATATTTATAATAGTGGGTATATCCTAAATGACCATTTAAAATCCATATTTATAGCTCTGCCAAAGAAACCAGGCACTTTAAAATGTGAAGACCATCGCACAATGTCTGAGGAGTCAAATGACTTAGATTTTACTGAGGATAATTATGATAAGAATCAAAATTAAACCAGAAATCAGCGATGAACAATGTTGATTTATAGAAGAAAAAGGTACAAACAATGCCATAAATGTCTTAAGGACATTGTCAGAAAGAGCTATAGAAGTAAAGATTGATTTGTCCTTGTGCTTCATAGACTACAAAAGCATTTGACTGTGAAACATGAAGAAGTAATCAAACTATTAGAAAAATTGAACATCGATGGAAACAATCTACGAATAATAAAGAATATGTATTGGCAGCAAACAGCAGCTATAAGAATTAACAACTGTTTAGGGACATTTCAGAGCATAAAGAGGGGCGTACGACAAGGATGTGTACTGTCTATGATTTGTTTTGTCTATACCGTGAATATATAATGAGAGCTTTAATTGGTATGCCTGGAATTGTGGTTGGTGGGCACAATATAAACAATTTACGTTATGCTGATGACACAGTCTCGATAGCAACAAGTCAGAAAGAACTACAGGAAATGATAGACATTGTGGTGTTGGAAAGTGGAAGAATGGGCCTCAATTTGAATAATGGGAAGACAGAAACGAATTATTCCTAGGTGTGTAATAAAAGTTGGTGTTATTTTAGGACAAGTACAGAAATTTAAGTATCTGGGCACATGGATAATATCAGATGGAAGATGCATTACTGAGATAAGAAATAGAATAGGACAGGCAAAAACTGCATTTTATAAAATGAAAAACATCTTGTGCAATATATCCTTGTCATTGAGTTAGAAAAAGAATTCTTGCTTGCTACATACATCCAGTTTTAACATATGGCTGTGAATCCTGGACAATCGGTAGGCATTCCAAACAATTTCTGGAGGCCTCAGAGATGTGGTTTTACAGAAGAATGCTTAGAATACATTGGACAGCTAAAAGGAGCAACCAAGAGGTTTTGAAAGAGGCAGGAGCCCAAAGACAACTTATCACAGACATCAGAAGGAGACAGTCGTCATTTTTCGGCCATGTTATGAGAAGAGGGAAAATAGAACATGTTGTGACCACTGGAAAGATATGTGGAAGGAGAGATAGAGGAAGAATGCTTAGAATACATTGGACAGCCAAAAAGAGCAACCAAGAGGTTTTGAAAGAGGCAGGAGCCCGAAGACAACTTATCACAGACATCAGAAGGAAACAGTCGTCATTTTTCGGCCATGTTATGAGAAGAGGGAAAATAGAACATGTTGTGACCACTGGAAAGATATGTGGAAGGAGAGATAGAGGAAGACAACAACAGAAGATGCTTGACAGTCTTGTTGCATGGCATGAAGGTGTGTCGGCACACAAACTGATACATGCTGCAGGAGATCGCAGATTATGGAGAGGCATGATCGCCCACGCCAGTCGGCAAGGCACCTGATGATGATGATACAGTAAATACATATCTTTAATTGATATGCCCAGAATTGTGGTTGGTGGGCACAATATAAACAATTTACGTTATGCTGCTGACGCAGTCTTGTTGGCAACAAGTCAAAAAGAACTACAGGGAATGATAGACATTGTGGTGATAGAAAGTGGAAGAGTGAGCCTCAGTTTGAATAAATGGAAGACAGAAGTAATAGTGTTATCAAAGAAAAGAATAATTCCTAAATCGATGGTGTTATTTTTGGACAAGTGCAGAAATTTAAATATAAAGGCACATGGATAATACCAGAAGGAAAATGCATTACTGAGATCCGAAACAGAATAGGACAGGCAAAAACTGCATTTTATAAAATGAAGAAGATCGTATGCAATATATCTATCACAGAGAGTTAAAGAAAGAATCCTTGCTTGCTACATACATCCAGTTTTAACTGTGAGTCCTGAACAATCGGTAGGCTAGCAAAACAATTTCTTGAGGCCTCAGAGATGTGGTTTTACAGAATAATGCTTAAAATACCTTGGACAGCTAAAAAGAGCAACCAAGAGGTTTTGAAAGAGGCGGGAGCCCGAAGACAACTTGTCGCAGACATCGAGAGGAGACGGTCGTCATTTTTCGGCCATGTTATGAGAAGAGGGAAAATGGAACATGTGACCACTGGAAAAATCTGTGGAGAGGTATGATCGCCCATGCCAGTTGGCAAGGCAAATGATGATGATGGCAACGTAGCTATAAACCACAAGACAAAGTGCCAATCGCCCTGTTAAGGGTGACATAAAGAAGATATTATACAGATGAAGAGAAATAAGTAAAATCAGTCGAGTCTGAATAAGTAGAAGTCGCAGGGACCTAAGAAAATGCTTCCACGTATCAGGATTTCTACTTATCCAGACAGCACACACAATAGAGAAAATTGCCGGAACTAAACTGGTCATGTCGACTTAACCGAAATTCAACTTAAGTGGACTCGACTGTATAAAGTTCTTTTTCTTCTTCACTAGCATTCTGCGCCCTTCAGGTTCATTGCTGCAGTCTTCATTCATCTCCCTGGCTGGTCTTTTCTTTCCAGTAGGTGACACCAAGTGTTTGTAGGTTTGACTGGATATTGTCTCGCCATCGTGTTTCTGGTCTTCCTCGTGGCACACCACCATTCAACTCCCTTTGTATAAAAAAATTTTTCTCACTGTCATTATCTCAATATTCCCCAGCCATTTCAGTCTATTAGCTCTCGTGATACCAGTGATCTATGGTGTTTAAGACACATTACAAAATTTCTTTGTTGCTTGTTTCCATTTCCCGCTGTTTGCATCTTTGACGGGTCCAAATATATATTGTAAGACTTTTGTCGATGAAAAAATTGTAAAAAAAGCTTCACTTCTTCTAGCTGTACTCAAAGTTTCGCAGCCATATAAACTAACCGGTCTTAATCAGCGTTTTATATATTTTAAAAGAGTAAATGAATCTAGTAGTTAGTTGGGATATGATCAATGCACTCCAGGACGTTCCATAGGTGCTCATATCCTTCCCCTCAATATGAACGCCAGCGTTATGTGACTAATAGTGCCAGTTTTTGTTGATTTATAAGTCTTTTTGTATGCCCGGTTTGCTTCTCGCTTTTGGCTATGCCGATCTTCTCCCGAGTCTTTCATTCTGGTGAGCGATGTGGAATCTCTGTCTCGAAAGTCCTCCACCCTTCCCACTTCTCCGAGGGAATTAATGAGCCATGTGCAGAGATAGCGGATCCAGTCTGACTGACTGACTTTCTACCCCACTAGGACATCACACAAGCGATAAACACCCGATGACACAAAGTGCCACCATGCGGATGAGGATCGCCGTGGAGAAGTCCCAAAAACCGCGTTCAGACAATTGGCCATATTTATGGCCTGCCTATATTGCGGCCCCTGGAAAAAGCCAGGGTGGGGCTTCAAATAACAAAAAATTTCATCCTAAAAAGGACGAAATACTTAGGCGGATCCAGCCAGCTTAGCAGCCCTTTTGTATCCACCGCGGACTCCGTACTGAATATAAAGACAGCGTTATGCATAGTGGACTACTTTAATGGCTCAATCCACTGCCTTCGCACAGAACCTGTCTGGATATTCTGGATCATGCTTTTGGAATCGCTTAGTACACAGGCACGGCTATAGTCTTGTGTTCTTAGCCATACGAATACTTGCGCTACCGCCATCACCTCCATCGTCATGCTGCTTGTTTTCATGGAGAAGGCAGCGCTGGCTTCTTTGATTGTTTGCCAGCTGAGCGTGCTGTGAACGCACTTGCACGTCTTCATTGTTAGTAAATGGGTAAATTTTACGCTTGCCTCCCATTTAGCACACCGCTACACATCACTCCTGATAGGTCCGCCTCGAGATCCGACTCTCACACAAGATCACGGGGATATTCCACACTAGCGCTTATACCGCGTGTTGTAAATTTCACCATGCCAGTGCTTTCAACACTTCGAAAAACATTCAGATACTGGGTCTAACACACAGCTTCCCTAGAGAGTGACAAAGCCTATGTCACAGGCCGTCTCTTTCTCGGAAATAAAATCGTAAATATCAGACAACAGACTGCGACACTCACAACCTTGACCACGGTAGACTAGTCCACGTCCGGCTTTATGTATAAATCTGGAGCTGGCCGTGACTAGTCCAACCAACTTAACAAGGGAGTTGACTTGCAAATGGGGAGACCAGCGTAAAATTCACCAGTTAATGAATCCAAAGCACTGCTAGTAATGTCCCCTGACAGCTGACCGGTAGTAAGAGCAGATCTTGTTCAAACAGTGGAGAGCTGATGTTGATGTGAGCGGTGGGCAGCCGGTCCGGAACGTTTCCACAAGGATGTCTTGTTGTCATACAAGGAGGCTGCTGTTCAGGGTGTTATTAGACCTGATAACCATCTCTTTAGGTAATTAATTAACTGTAATATTGTGTTTAATATATGAACATTTAATGGCACAAAAATAATAATAAAATTATTTCATTCAAACCGCTGAGAACAGCTGGAGTCGGAGTGAGTGGTGACTACTCAGACTACTACTTGAGTGTGTGTTTTTTTTACATTTTTTTTTTAAAATTTATTAAAAACGATTGGTACATAATAAATTAAATTACATATCATCCGCCTGCCTGCATGTGCTCTTCATCAATTGCAGTGGTTTGAGAATTGGTGACATTTGTTAATTTTGGGGGTCGGTCCTAAAAAAAGGCCCGGGGGGGGGGGGGGGGGGGTTCTAAAAAGGACCAATAGTGTGGATGGATGAAGCGTGTATATGATATATCGCTTATTTCAAGTCACTGAGTAAGGGCACAGTGGATACGGATGAAGGACCAACGCAGAAGGCTGTAGTGTAACAGTAACAGACAAACATTAACATGCTCATTTGCATGTGGGCAGGGTCGTGAGTTTGTACCAAAAGTTTGGCTATCCTCCGAATAACGGGCACAAAAGATGGCAGCCGCGAAAACACCCTAACAGAGCCGCAGTCACATGTCAATTGCGCACTTCCGGCGACTTGTGGTTTTCCAGGCGACTACCGCCACCGCCAAAAGTATCCCCCACGCTGTGTGACTGGCGTGGATTGGGGCTAAACTAGATAGCTGGGACTCACGAGCTGCAGCATCTGCATCTTCTGCAGCTCAGCTCATGAGTCCTAGTCATCTAGTTAAGCCCCAACCCACGCCGCTTGAGTGGCGTGGGGATACTTTCGGCAGTAGTCGCCGGAAAACCACAAATTCAGTTGCTGGAAGTGCGCACAATTGACACGTGACTGAGGCCCTGTTTTTGGCCGCCATCTTTTGTTCCCGTTATTTGGAGGATAGCCAAAATTTTTGTATACTATACTTCAATTACTGCTGTGAGTTAAGGTGAAGTCATGAAATGTGAACACGGTTATAAATCATAAGTGCTCTGCCACCAGTACAGACAGCTGATAAGAAGCTGTTCACCTAACAAAAAACTGGTAAGAAGCACCTAACGATCTGTCTGCCTAGAGTACTATGATGTTCCTGATTAATCAGTAATTATGTAGTGACTGTTTAGGTTAGTAGTAAAATTAAAATAGTTGTTGAAATTTTTATTAAAATAAACATTCAATAAATCATGTTATATTGTTTTTTCTCAGAAACATGCGAATCTGAATCATGCTTTGTTCAATTTTCTTATTAACCACATAACCCTCTACAGCTAATATATTTAAATAGTGCTGTATTATTAGAAAAAACTTTTACAATCGATAAGCAGTGTATTATATCCCCTTGTGGGTTCCAGACCCCAGTGCCCTAATGAGGGGGGTGGGGGGAACAAGACTGACAAAACCCACTAGTGAGCTATCCTCCGAAAAAACGGGCACAAAATATGGCGGCCAAAAACAGGACCTCAGTCACGTGTCACTTGGGCACTTCCTGCACCTTAATTTGCGACTACCGCCACTGCCAAGAGTATCCCCCACGCGGCGTGGATTGGGTCTAAACTAGATGACTGGAACTCACGAGCAAATCTGCAGGAGATGCGGAAGCTGCTGCTTGTGAGCCCCAGCCATCTAGTTTAGCCCCAATCCACGCGGCGTGGGGGATACTCTCAGTGGTGGCGGTAGTCCTTGGAAGTTTGCAAATTAAGGCGCCGGAAGTGCGCAATTGACACATGACTAATGCTCTCTTAGGTTTTTTTTACAAACATGCCAGAAATGTGCATGCAACACACTGATCAGGCTGTGGAACAAGACTGAAGTCACAAAGTGGACAAATCCCACACATAACCAGAACTTTCCTCCAGAGTTTACAGTCTGTGAAGTCACAGAAGAAGGAAACTCAGATCATGGTTAGTCATACTAAACAGGGTTGGCATTAAACTGGTAATCTCATACTGTATTACACTTTGACTACAATATTAAACAGAGTTGGCATGTAACTGGTCATCTCATACTGTATTACACTTTGACTATAATATTAAACAGGGTTGGCATGTAACTGGTCATCTCATACTGTATTACACTTTGACTACAATATTAAACAGGGTTGGCATGTAACTGGTCATCTCATACTGTAGTACACTTTGACTACAATATTAAACAGAGTTGGCATGTAACTGGTCATCTCATACTGTATTACACTTTGACTATAATATTAAACAGGGTTGGCATGTAACTGGTCATCTCATACTGTATTACACTTTGGCTACAATATTAAACAGAGTTGGCATGCAACTGGTCATCTCATACTGTAGTACACTTTGACTATAATATTAAACAGGGTTGGCATGTAACTGGTCATCTCATACTGTAGTACACTTTGACTACAATATTAAACAGAGTTGGCATGCAACTGGTCATCTTATACTGTATTACACTTTGACTATAATATTAAACAGGGTTGGCATGTAACTGGTCATCTCATTTTGTATTACACTTTGACTACAATATTAAACAGAGTTGGCATGTAACTGGTCATCTCATACTGTAGTACACTTTGACTACAATATTAAACAGAGTTGGCATGCAACTGGTCATCTTATACTGTATTACACTTTGACTACAATATTAAACAGAGTTGGCATGTAACTGGTCATCTTATACTGTATTACACTTTGGCTACAATATTAAACAGAGTTGGCATGCAACTGGTCATCTCATACTGTAGTACACTTTGACTACAATAAAAAAAAATACATTTTATCTTTAAAGCTTCTTGAAGAAGATTTGGGTTATTGTATTCATTTATTCTCCATTTAGATTTAATATGGTGGTGGGGGGGATAATAAGCTCACTGCCTCTTAACCGTCGGCTCTGTGGCTAAGTCGATGCAAATGCTTTGTAATGACGGGGGGCCGGGTTCGATCCCAGCTGCAGGCCATGCGCTTTGCGTTGGTTTCGACAGTGGTATCAGGGGGCCGACCGTCCAGAAAGCGATGGCAAACTACTAGACGTAAATCTGCCTAGAGAAACCTCACAACAGCCAGGGGCTACTATGGTTGGTTCTGCAACGTCCTGTAAAAGATACACAACTAACCACCTGGTCGGCTCTGTGGCTAAGTCGATGCGGATGCCTCATAATGCCAGGATGCCGGGTTCAATCCCTGCTGTGGGCTATGCACCTTACGTTGGTTTGGCCAGTGGTATCAAGAAAGCCGACCGTCCAGAAAGCAATGGTAAACTACTGGACGTAAATTTGCTTAGAAAAACCACACAACAGCCAGGGGCTGTTGAGGTTGGTTCTGCAACGTCCTGTAAAGTATACCCAACTAACCTAACCTCTTAACCTTCTTATAGTCCATGTCATGTGTCAATAATGGTATATGATTTAATTTATCTGTACACAACCTTCTGTCTCTTACTTTCTCTCAGTTCTTGCACAAATGGTCTTTCATGATATCGAACTTTCTAGCATTTTCTCTCTCGGTCTCCCTCTGCTTTCTTTATTTTTCTGCTCCATCTTTCCCACCATCTCCATCCATATCCTTAAGTTGTCTTTTCATGACCTGACCAAAGAATTGTAGATTCCCCCCCAACCAAGGCAACCAACTAGGAGTTTGCCGAAATCTGATGTGTTCGGTTGAAAGGCGCAGATTTTGCACTCGATCTGTAAACCACAACACAATGTGCCAACCACCCTGTTAAGGACGACACACAGAAGTAAAGTTCATTTTTGGAATTTACTACTGACATTCACCTCTGTTAGTTTACTAATATGCTTATGGACTTGTGTTCACATTACAGTGGCATCAGGGATTCTCATTATCCAGGGAACTAAACCTTACCACCGTGGGTTTTTCTGTGACGATGAGAGCATCCAATATCCATTGCTGTCAAATACTGTGCCAATGCAGTTGGCAGTTTATGTGGGGATTTCAGTTCCTGTGGCAGTGGTATGTTTTTTATAATGTATACTAAGGTATTTATTTTGACTGATATGAAATTTGTTTTTGCTTGAATGAAAGAACTCATTTTCAGAGGGTTGTGAATTTTGCATGCAGGGCCGTTTAACATTCTACCAGTTTTAATCTCACTCTTTTCATTCATCGTGCTCCCCATGTTTATGATTTGCATGTTCAGAGTCAGTTGTGGATTTTTTGAATGCACAGCACATTGTCATTATTTGAACAACAGTGGACAACATATTATTCATTCTTCTCCTTCTGTGCATTCGTTTTCATATGCTGAGATTAGACCATCAAGTGGGTTGCCTCTCTGAACTCGCATGTCAGTAGCAGGTCCTTCATGGTTCCCCGTAGCTTGCTCTGCACACTTTGCTCTTGAGGTGAAACTATGGGGGTGACTGCAGTCAAGCTAATACAATGAATTCCAGAAAAATTTGTCTAAAAAGCTCAACAAAGTGGTAAAGAGGAAAACATGCACAAAACAACGTAACGTTTCGGCCAGGCAGCCTTTTTCAAACACAAGTGAAATACACAAACGAGGAATGGAGAGTATGTAGATCTCTAAGGGGTGACGTGAGCGACGTTTAAAAAATGTGATGCGGTTTTTAGCCATCGTTTATTTTATTTTATTTAATTTATTGCGCATCACATTTTTTAAACGTCGCTCACGTCACCCCTTAGAGATCTACATACTCTCCATTCCTCGTTTGTGTAATTCACTTGTGTTTGAAAAAGGCTGCCTGGCCGAAACGTTGTGTTGTTTTGTGCACGTTTTCCTCTTTCCCACTTTGTTAAGCTTTTTAGTCAAATTTTTCTGGAATTCATTTTTTGCTCTTGAGGCCAGATTTCGGTATTTAATTTATAACTTACCCCTGACGTCACGACAACGTCACAGGAAACATTCCCAATGAATTTCAAAGTGTTCAGGTTGTAGTTTCTCATCATTTATCTACACCCAAGTTTAGGGTTAGGGTTAGGATTATAAGACACAACATGAACACTCAAAAAAAAAAAACACACACACACACACACACAGCACACTTCCACCCCTTTAAATAATGGACTGTCAGGTCAGCTGTGGATTTCCCACGGGGATTTTGTGTTTGGGGTACGTTATAAATTAAGAAACCAGATTTCTTTTCAAAATTGTAGGTAGAGTGACAAGGTCTATAGAATGTGTTTAGCTGTTGGGTCCTCTCTGACAGGCACACTGTGGAGACTGTAGTCTTTATTTTATGCATGTGGTAGTTGAGTCTGCAGTGTTCTGTTCATGGAAGGGAAATTGTTGAATGTTGCTTTTTATGAGTCTGTTGGTCTTGTGGATGTTTACTGTTGGTTGGTTCTGTCCACAATTCCTTGTATTTTACCTTGATGAGTGTTTTGATTTCTGGTAACGCCAATGAATTGTGTGTTGTTTCTCCCTTGCTGCACCTTTTGCAAATCTGTCTGCCAACTTATTCCTGGTATGCCCCAATAAACCGGATCCACTGGATGATTTTTTTTCTGAGAGTCTGTTTAGCTGGCAGATCAGTTTTCTTTCCATGTTGTCTCGTGGATCCTGGTGAGTCGCCTGGAGGACATCATATTATACAGAAAGCAATGATTATTATCTATAAAACATATCTCTCATGTGCATGCATTAATGGAAGTCGTGGCTTCCAGGAAAGGAAAAACTAATAGACATAAAATTGTCTAGTAAAATGACACATCAGCCTGTTCATCGGCCCATCAGCTTTCAGTTTGCTAATGTTAATAATTATCTCACTCCTTCAACTTGCTCCACTCTGTATAACCTAGTCTAGAATATCAATACATCTATGTTGATCCATGCATGTGTGCTGCACAAACATCAAGTCCTGCATATGCTGGCATAACCTTGAAACATCAAAAATACCCTGAGAATCTCTTCTGACCTTTAACAGAAGAAAAAAGGTTAGTGAGTTTACAAACCCTGAAAAGGCCTTCATTAATTGTTATTCATTTGTTTTCTTCCAGATTGCCCTGTTTGAATTTACCTTGCGAAATAGCCACAGAGCAGATGTAATTTCTCTCAGAAACGCAAACACAGGAGGAAGTAGGTCATGGCTCATCGCTACTTACAGTACAGTAGCTGTTTTCATTTTCGGCATGGCGGTAACACAGTTTTTGACAGACATGGCAAAGTTTTCACTGGGGAGATTAAGACCACATTTTCTGGCGCTGTGCAATCCTGACTTTTCTAAATTTAACTGCAGCGATGGATATATTACTGCTGATGTCTGCACATTCAAAGAATCCTTCACAGCTATGGATGCCAGGTGAGTTAGTTTAAACCTAAGGATTGTAGAATATGTAAATCAATTTTCTGTGCAGCCAGAACTGCTGTGGTGTAGCAGTTAGATCTGCCGGTCAGGAGGCATAGGGTTCAAATCCACATCATGCTGGAGTTTTTCTTCATAAATGGCCTTAGCTTTCAAATCGACCCAGTCTGAATGAGTATGGGTAAAGTCCTGGGAAGTAAAGGCAGCTGACATAATGTTCACAGCACCAAATGAGTACTAGTTGTCTAAATACCATATAGTCAAATAGTGTCCTTTGCTTTTACTTTTCTATGTAGCTTATGTTATGGTACTATGGATATATGGTGCTAGACCTGGTAGATCTACATTTGTGGTCATGTCATGACAAGGAGAAAACTGGAGTACATTGTGATAGTGGGACAGTTACAAGGAAAAGAGGCAGTGTATCAGTTCGTGTGCCGACACACCTCCATGCCATGCAACAAGACTGTCAAGCATTTTCTTTCATTGTCTTCCTCTATCCCTCCTTCCACAGATCTTTCCAGTGGTCACAACACGTTCTATTTTCCATCTTCTCATAACATGGCCGAAAAATGATGTCTCCTTCTGATATCTGTGATAAGTTGTCTTGGGGCCCCTGCCTCTTTCAAAACCTCTTGGTTGCTCTTTTTGGCTGTCCAAGGTATTCTAAGCATTCTTCTGTAAAACCACATCTCTGAGGCCTCAATAAAACTATGGATAGACATAACTACCAATGCCACACAGCATGGATTATAAGAAAAAGATGTGGGATCCCAGGCACATTCTGCAGACCTACAGCTTTGAAAAGAAACCTGGCCTCAAGAGCATAAGTGTGCAAAGCAAGCTATAGGGAACCATGAAGGACCTGCAGCTGACATGCAAGTTTAAAGAGGCAACCCGTGTGATGTTCTGACCTGAGCTTACAAAACCGAATGGGGCAAAGAAGACTGCTGAAAATGAAGCGAAAAACATTGATCTCACGGCTAGTGGAATTTTTCAGCTAACACGGAAATCATGTTTTGGCTAACCAAGATTTTGGTTAACTATTGTGATTCTAGAACAGATAATTGGCATTAAATTTAGCTAATTTTACTTGTTTTGTTTTACCTAATTAAGGCAACATCTTACTTTACAAATGTTTTGTTTGTAAATTCTGGAACATTTCAAATATTTTTCAGATGCTGTTGTTAGAAAAAAAAAGGTTTCTTATTACTATGACAGTAGATGTAATTATTTAATTATTACTTAGTTACAAATACTCATATGTTAATTTGTTTCTTTTTCAGGTTGTCTTTCCCTTCTGGACATTCGTCATTTTCCATGTATTGTATGCTGTATGTAATAGTAAGTGTCTATTTATTTTATTATTACTTCTTTTTCTTCTTTGAGTTTTCTTCATTCAATTATAACATAGTGCTAGGCAGGTGACTAATTTAACTCTTTGAGTCCCAAGGAACGCATCATACGTTCATAGGTTCCTACGTAGAAGCCCAGTAAACACATGATGCGCCGATTTTATTACTTTCTTTACTACCCCATGGCCCTGTGATGCTAAACCCCCTGGGACTCAAAGAGTTAAAAAACTATTAAATGATTTACTTCGGGGGTATTTAAGTTCTGTAAAATTTCCTGCACATAAGTGAAACTGAGTAAATGCAGATATCTATGCTTTTCAGGTTATGGCATGCTGTTTATGGGTAGTGGTAACTGGGCCCGTATAACAGCTTTGGTGCTGGTTGCAAATGCACATTTTGTAGGCGGACTGGGCATGTTAGCACTTGGTGTGAATAAATTGTGACATCTCCTTGAGGTCATATAATTTTGTTTACATATGCTGGCCCATCTACAAACTGTTTCAGATCTAGGTCACAGGGGTGTCACGTTCTGCATTCTTCGAAAAGTCTCTCGTGGGACCTAGACTCAGGTTGTGGGTAAGGTAAGGGGGGTGGTGGTGGGTTAGGTTAGGGCGTGTTCTAGATGTTCTGGGGTCATTGAAAGCTTTGTCGTTGTAGTACAGAACATGCGACATTCTCACTGATGTAATTGGAGGCAAGACAACGTGACACCCCTCCCACCGATTTAAACGAGTGTATGAAAGGTCAGCCAGTGTGTAGATGGCCTGGGAAACCACTTTTTGTGAAAAAGAGACTAAAACTACTTTTAAATTGTTAAACAGGAGGAAATCAGTTAATTCTTTGTTGTATTTGTGTATAGTGATTACTTTCCTTGACATAGAATGAAACCTTGTCTTGATTTAAACATTTACTGGCTGGAACAAATTTGTGTAAATTTAAATTGTTCTAGTAATGTTACATAATCTGGTAATCTTAGTTTCAGTTTCATAGCAAACGGGTCACCCCATAGCTGCCCCGCTCCTGTGCCAACTACAAACACAGAGAATTTTTATCACAGTCCCCTGTGTTAAGATTGACCTGCTGTCTCAGCACATCTAGCATACACACACATTAAAAGCATACGCTGGCCATCTGAAGTGCTAACACAAACAGTCCGACATTAGAAATGTAGTTTATCGTGGATGGTCACAGTCACCAGCAGATCAGCAGTTGCACACGTGAAGAAGCAAAGGACTTTACGCGTCTGCTTGATGATCTAGGAGTTTGAGTCCTTGAATTTTTATAAAAACTGCCCATGACTTCTCTGTTTCTGCTTCTTCAGCTCTCCTGGTCTCTAAGGATTTAGAGTTTCAGAGAGTCAGTTATAAGGATGCATTTTTGTGTGTAACAAAGTAAGAATAAAGGATTACCCAATGTCTATGCCACGGCACCACACCTCTCAGTGAATGCAGGATCTCAACACACAGCGAACATACCTCTCAAAATGTCTCATTTTGTCTCTCAGAAAACATCTTCTCTATCAGCTAACTTGTTCTCTATCAAGAAATATGCCCTCTCTCAGCAGATATGTTTGCTCTCAGCAAACATGTTCTCTCTCAACAAATATGTTCCCTCTCAACAAACATGTTCTCTCTCAGCAAATATGTTCTCTCTCAGCAAACATGTCCTCTCTCAACAAATATGTTCTGTCTCGGCAAACATATTCTCTCTTAAGAAACATTGTTCCTGTGTGGGTTCCTATGTCCCAGTTAGAGAAACCAAAAGAATAACTCCCCCCATCCTCTTTCCACATGTTTATCGTTACAAAAGCTAACTAATTAGAGTGGTTTTATTTTAAATCAGGGTGTATGTGCCTGGGAGGCAAAGAACCAGCTGTCAGCTTACAAATAAGGCAGATCTGCAAACAGATGTTCACACAAAACTCTCTGGAATAAGACTAAAGTCCAGAAGTGGACAAACAACCAGAACTTTTCCAAGCAGTTAACAACCGATAAAGAAGAAGAAACATTGTCTCAACATATTTGTCTCTTAACAAATTGTCTTTCACTTACATTCATCTCAACATGCATTTTGCCTCTCAGTCGACATTTGGGTCTCACATTATCAATCTTAGATCAGCAAAGGTCTTACAACATAAACTTTGTCTCCCAACAGTTGTACTTACAAGCAAGAATTGTGTGTAAAATAGCTGTATTGCTCAAGCCGTTTGTCCAGCTGGTCTTCTTCTCATTGAGTTTCTTCACATGCCTCAGTCGTATATCAGACTACATGCACCACTGGAGCGATGTCCTAGCCGGTGCTGTTTTAGGCATTGTAGTCTGTGTTTGTGTGGTGAGTACTTAGATGTTGATTGTTTTCTTAGTGATGGTGGTTTGTGTGGTGAGTACTTAGATGTATTTGATATTGATTGTTTTCTTAGTGATGGTCGTCTGTGTTTGTGTGGTGAGTACTTAGATGCTGATTGTTTTCTTAGTGATGGTCGTCTTTGTTTGTGTGGTGAGTACTTAGATGTACTTGATGTTGATTGTTTTCTTAGTGATGGTCGTCTGTGTTTGTGTGGTGAGTACTTAGAGGTTGATTGTTTTCTAATTGTTTTCTTAGTGATGGTCGTCTGTGTTTGTGTGGTGAGTACTTAGATGTACTTGATGTTGATTGTTTTTTAGTGATGGTCGTCTGTGTTTGTGTGGTGAGTACTTAGAGGTTGATTGTTTTCTAAGTGATGGTCGTCTGTGTTTGTGTGGTGAGTACTTAGAGGTTGATTGTTTTCTAAGTGATTGTGGCTGTGTTTGTGTGGTGAGTACTTAGATGCTGATTGTTTTCTAAGTGATGATGGCTGTGTTTGTGTGGTGAGTACTTGATGTTGATTGTTTTCTAAGTGATGGTGGCTGTGTTTGTGTGGTGAGTACTTAGATGTTGATTGTTTTCTAAGTGATGATGGTCTGTGTTTGTGTGCTGAGTACTTAGATGTTGATTGTTTTCTAAGTGACGGTGGTCTCTTTTTGTGTGGTGAGTACTTAGATGTTGATTGTTTTCTAAGTGCTGGTGGTGAGTACTTAGATGCTGGTTGTTTTCTAAGTGATGGTGGTCTGTGTTTGTGTGCTGAGTACTCAGATGTTGATTGTTTACTGTATTGTGATAGAATGTGTTTGTGGGGTGAAAGATATACGGTTCCTGAAAGAAGAGCTTGGCTAGACAGCACAAAAATGGACACAGAATACGAAGCGCACCTTGCATTCAAGTTCAGGAGGTGGAAAGTCTTGAGAGGACACATTTCTATCGTGCCATGGTGAGAGTCACATTTCACAGAAGACCTGTCTCATGACGGTGACATAGAAACCAATACATATATGATTAATAATTCTAACTGCCAGTTTGGCTTCTGTCATCAGGTTTTATCTTTGACTGATTTTGGTCAGTATCTCTTTCACCGTGGGTCGGTTTGTGAAGCAGAAAGTCAGCCTCCTGTATCAAGCAGCAGTCAGGACGTTGAGGAAGGATCTGGGACACCGTTTTATGGTTGGTGTACTTTATAAAGTCCAGTTTCTGCATCTATACATGTATAGATAGGTAGCTGATGAAAAAAAATACCTTTTTTATGCCAGTGGTGGATGTGGGGGAGAAAAATAGCAGAAACAGCTCTGATGCTCATAAACAGCTTCCTGTCCTGAAAGGTGTTTTGGCCATGTTAGACGTCGTGGTGGCCTGGAGTGAACGGCGATGGAGGGTACAGTTTTCAGGCAGACCTCCATGAAAGTGGATTCAAGACAAGGAAGAGTGTTGGCTATGAAAGCAACATATGGCTGGAGAATTGGCTAGAGAAAGGAAGTCATCAGACATGCTGTGCGGAGAATAACGTTTTGTAAAGAACCAGCTATGTGATGGTGCATCTGATATATGATGCCAAACTTATGAATTTGCTATAGACCAGTTGGCACTAGGCGGGTAACATGGTTCACGCGGATTAAACACTCAAGACCATCAGGCTAGGGCAGGTAGGTAGGGAAAGATAGATAAATAAACATAGGTTGAATGTTGAAATAAGAATCGAAATCACAACACTCTGATAAGTGCTCAGCCCCCATCTTCAGAAGCAAGCAAAGAGTTCCAATTCTAATGGTACCAGTAACCCTCTGATTGTATATCCATCTCATCCTTCTCCTGCGTGTTGAACATCGGCCAGATTCCCTGGTAACTCCTCGCAGCGCCATTCTTCTTAAACCGTAATAATCTGTCTGCTAAACACACAGGTGAGTTGGTCTTCTTCTTCTGCCTTTCTATCCCCCAATGGAGCATAGGCCCTCAACCAACTCACGCCAAGTCGTTCTATCCTTCGCCATTGCATGGAGCTCTCCCCATGTCCTCCCATTCTTTCTAACCTCATTCTCCAGCTCTCTTCTCCATGTGTTTTTTGGCCTTCCTTTATTCCTATGCCCCAAGTGAGTTGGTAAAGTGATATAAAGAATGAACAAATACATTTTATTTTAAGAGGGTTAAGAATTGGGCATGCATGTCTGTCTTATGTAAGACAAACCTGCATGCCCCGTTCTAAAACTCCTAAAAATAAAATGTATTTCTTGCTTCTGTCTTAGCCCCTTACATACATGAGATAATATTCAAATGGTTACCTTCCCACTTGTATGTATAAGGGTTGATAATTTAAAATTTAAAAAAAAAACAAAGTTGAAGGATGAGCTGCAGAGCACTCTTAATGTTTGTTTTACAAAAGTCTGTGCTAGTTTTAGGAATGTCTGATATGTTTAGATATATAATAAGGTAGTTAGATAAAAAGATACAGAGATAAATTGATTGGCAGATACACAGGGGTTAAGTAGGTGGTTAGTTTAATACACAGGTAGACAAATACATAGATGTATTTATTTATTTAATATTATTTTGGCACTCTCCTATCTTAGCATGTTGAGGTGAATTATAAACAAGAGGAGAGTTCCACTTTGTGTGTTTCACATATGGACGTTCACAGGTACTCTTACGTTATTCCCTCAGTACATGGTGTGCATGGTCAGTCCCTCTTTTGATTTATGCTCAGTATATGCATGTGAGGTCGTTGTGGTATACTGTCTGTTGCCAGTTGTATAGCCGAACCATTTCACTTGCTTTCTAATAAAGTCCAGCAGTGATAACTACTCACATTTTCTTTTGGATTTCACATTAGTATCCTGAGTGTTCTTCAGGAATCATAAATAGTAGTCATCTTAGTAAGATGCAGTAGCAGTACATTTTTTTTTCTCTATTTGAAAAATAGAAATAAGAGTACATACAAACAAAATCTTTCTTGCAGGAAGCACATCCTACAAACATCTGGAAAGTCAAGAACAGCAACGACTTCTGCAGCCGGGACAACCAAAATAACTTGACTGCAGCAACAAACAGGGAACACGTTTTTGTGTTTATAGTTTGTTCAGTTTCACAACGGGCAGCTGAAGCTGTTTCGGTTTGAAATTGCCAGTTTGGAAGTTTTTCCTTGTTACTGTTTTATTAAATGAGAAGCACGTCAATATGCATTTTTAAATCTCAGGTTTTTATTGTATTTTTTTCTCCCGCAATTTTACGAAAACTGGTGGCATGGCTTATTTTTTGCTCATTGTGCTGAAGTTTTCAGCATTTATTTTGTATATGAATAATAAATACTCCGACCATTGAGTTTTAAGCTTGAAAATATATTATTGTATATTTAGTGGTCCAAATATTCTTTGATCTAGTCTGAATATATCTCTCTCTCTCTTTCTCTCAAATATTGTGTGTGTGTCTCTTCTTTTCTGATGCTTCTGTCAGAAAACTTATATTAGCAGAACAAAAGTTTTGGTTAAATTATAATTTTTTGTTTAACACTAATTTTGACTCCATAAAAAGCATATTGTAAGAGTAGACTTTTCTTCTTTGCTTACTGTCTGGGAACCCCGAAACCCACACAGGGAGTAAGAGTAGACTTCTTCTTTGTTTACCATCTGGGGCCCCAGGACCCACACAGGCAGTAAGAGTAGACTTCTTCTTTGTTTACCATCTGGGGACCCCGGAACCCACACAGGGAGTAAGAGTAGACTAATTAAGGTGTTCCTTCTAAGCTGAACTGCATCGGCCTGGGATTCGTACAAATAAGCCAGAATTGTAAAAAGTTCTGTAAACAAGACCAAAGTCCAGAAGTAAGCAAAAACACCAGGACTTTCTGTCGAAGTTTACAGCCGGTGAACACAAAGATAAAGAAAGAATCCAATGTCAGATGTGGATCTCTATGGTGAGGTGGTTAAGATGTTTGCCTCATTTACAGAAGGTTGCAGGTTTGATTTTGGAATACATCCTTTGGGTCATAGGTGTTGTTTTAAGTATTCCTGCGGGGCTGTTGCTAGATATCTGAACCAGTAAACCTCAAGGGCTTGGAATGAAGAAGAAGAAGTTAGCATACATTTTTGTTAAACAGTTTTTCAGTTGTGTCCCCTGACAAGCATCTCATAGAGTTTGCTATCAGGTGTGTTGGGCATGAAGGCAAAGATATCTCAGCACCTCGGTACGACTTGCTGACCGCCCTAAAAAAAAAAAGGACAAATAAGAACAAAAGTAAGATTAAAGTTTGACAAGTACTGTATTGTGATGTGTGAAAATGCAATACCCTGATGATATTAGGCTTTAAGAGAAGTGGCTGATAGCAGATGTATAATTCTGAATACAGAATAATTTTGAAACAGATTAATGAGGCAGTGGAATATTTTCCCTACAGAGTTAACTGATTAAAAGTAGAGAGAAACAATTGTTTTAGGTGTCAAGGACAGTGCAGTAATGACTACATCACACATTGAGGAAGTGCTAGGGTGAGGTTTACAAAAATAAACCCTAAAATTTAAAAATATAATTTTTTTTAAAATTCTAATATTGGTTCTTAGTACACTCTCTGACCCAAATACACACAGGTTGACCCTTTATTCATACATGCTCACCTGTCACACAGGCTAGTTTATGTTACAGGGGTGTTAGATTGTATTGTCTCCATGATGTGTTTTACTCGCTGTGAGCAGCAGCCGGCAACGTTGCATTGTGGGATGTATGCTGGGGGGGGGGGGTGTTATGGCCAATTGTAAATGTTGAGGTGTCATTAAAAGCTGTGATGTCATGTAATATAGAACACTATATCGCCAGTGATAGAACCAGAGACAATACAATGTGACACCCCTGTAACATAAACTATCCTGTGTGACAGGTGAGGAAGCATGAATGAAAGGTCATTTAGTGTGTATTTGAGCTGGAAAACATAATATCCCTAATATTTATACAAGGTCCGACAATTAAGTTATGAGACTTATTTCATTATGGCCAAGACAAAAATGCGATCTATGAATCCAAGCATAGAATCCAAAGAGGCAACCTTCTATGATCTGGCAACCTTTTATCGCCGCCTGATAAGCAGACAGCAAACAAGACGTTTTGTTAACCTAGTCAGAGGTGCATTGTTACGTAATCAGCATGGAGCAAAAAAGCTAACATTAAATTTTGCTTAAAACTCAGAAAAAGCGCTATTGCGACAAGTTTATGGGGAGGTTAATATTCATAGAATTTTAGTGAAAGATTTGGGCAAGAAAAAAGTTGCTTGTTGGTTTGTATTCAACACCCGGCAATTTTTGTTCCTTCTTCATGACGATGTACCAGCTCAAAGGGGGGTAGTTGTACAGGAATTTCTGGCCCAAAAACAGATGCATGTTCTAAACCATCCACCCTATTGTCTCCCTGTGACTATTTTCTATTCCGAAAATTTATCTTGCCATTGGAAGGATGCTTCTTTGACAACATTGATGGCCTCCAAAGGGCCGTTACATCGACTTTAAGGGCGATAATGATAAAAGATCTACAGTGGTCGTTCCAGTGTTTGTTATATCGTGCCACTCGCTGAATCAATGCACAAGAGGCTTACTTTGAATCAAATACAGGTTACATTGTCAACTGTTATTTTAATTTTTATGGAGTTAGTCTCATTACTTAATTGTCGGACCTTGTACAGTTTTTCACTGTGACAACACATATGGGGTCCTTGGCAGACCATTTGAATAAAAGGGGAACAAAACCAGATAAGATGACATCCCTTTTTAGGATGTAATTTTTCGTTATTTGAAGCCCTTCTCTGGCTCTTGCCAGGGGCTGCAATATAGCCCGGCCATAAATATGGTTTAATGGGTTAAACGCGGTTTCCAGGACCTCTCCACGGGTGATCCTCATCCGCATGGTGGCACTTTGTGTCCCTGGATGTTAATCGCTTGTGTGATGTCCTGGTGGGGTTAAACAAAAATATTGATAGATGAGATGAAGACCAGAAATGTCACCACAAATATAACCGACAGGAAAGAGCAGCGTTTTCTGACCTAGCTGAAAGTGGTCAAATGAAGGAGAGGAAGAAGTAAAAGGGTCCTGCAGATATTCACTAGTACATAACTGCTGGTCTAGAATATCATAATCATCATCCTTTATATGCTGTTAGATGTCACATAGGACTCAGATTCATCAACTCCACTCTGATGCATGCAACTCTCTGGATTTCTGATATGAAGTTCAGCCCAGCATTTTCTGTGTCTTGTAATTATGTTCTGTGTGGGTTTATGTCTATATGCATGTTTTTATGTGCGTCTGTATGTGTTTGTGTGAGTGTGGCTGCATGTTTGTATGTGTATATATGTAAGTATGACTGTGTGTTTGTCTCTGTGTGTGTCTGTGCCTGTGTGTGTGTGTGTCTTTGATAATGTCTGCATGTGCGCGTATCTCTTGTGTTTCTGTGGCTGCATATATATGTACCTGTGTGAGTGTTGTGTATGTCTCTATGTGTGTGTCTTAGTGTGCCTGTTTGTTTGTGCATCTGTGGGTGTGTTTATGGCTCTGTGTGTGTCATAATGTATCTGTTTGTGCATCTGTGTGTGTGTGTGTATTATGCCTCTGACTGTTTTTCAATTCTTTGCTTATTTCATCTCAGAGTGTGCCCATTATATTTCCACCTCCTTTGTCTTATTGCAGTCAATAAAAATATTTGTCCAGACATTTCTCTGACCTCCTCACTCTTTTTGAATTCACCCACTCTAGAAAATGTGATGGATAAATATTCAACAGATTGCCAAAATCAGAAAGAGACAATCTACATTGTTTTGTCATGTGATGAGAAGAAGAAAACTAGAGTACATCGTGACAGGAGGAAAGGAAAAGCGAGATGACCAGGAAGAAATGATACTGGACAGTTTGACGACATGGCATAAAGGATAATCTTTGTCAGATTTGATTGAAAGTACATGAGATAGAAGGTTGTGTATAGACATGACTACCAACACCACACGGCATGAACTTTAAGAAGAAGTATTTCACTTAAAGATGGGGCTATGAACCCACACGAGCTACTGCATAATATGCCTGGTCAACAATAATGTCCTGAATTCAAGAGTTGAACTGGCCCACCCACTAAATAACAGTTCAGCATTTAATTGTATTTATTATTACATCTGTACAGTATATTAATTGTCAAATACTCAGTCTGTATGTATTCAGAATTCACAGTGTTCTGTACATATTCAGAGTTTTCACAGTTTTAAAGCTCCATATATTTTTTTAAATTATGGAACTGTCTCATTATTTACCAAGTGTATTGTTTTCTTGCAATATTTTCAAGTCTTTTTTTTTTCTGTCGCAGTTGACGGTTTTTAAACTTGTGAAGGACATGTACATTGTTTTTTCTTTTTCCTCCCCAATGTTTTGTACATCATGAGATCAAATGGCTTTGTATTAATTGTATCTTGGAATATTATCGAAATAAGTTTTGTTTTCTGTTTCCTAAAATAAATACAGTTGTGTTGAACAGTTCAAAATATTGTTTGATTTTTTTATATTATTTGGATATAGATGGATTATTCATTATGTAATGGAGGAGTAGCTGGTCTAGCAGTTAGAATGCCAGGCTGTCATGTGGGAGGCCTAGATTCAAACCCTCAGGTGATAACCCTTTTCCCTCAAGAGAAAGCCATTTTCCAGGCTATTGTGGGTTCTGTTTGACACAGTCTTTGGACAGTGCCCTTTAGGACAGCTTTGATGCTGGCTGCAACTGCAGCAGAATGTTTAAATCAGCATGGAGGGATGCCTAGTTGGTCATGTGTTTTAATATACTCTTTGCTGCAGTCATTTGGTGATGACAAATTAGATTCCCAGAGATTCCTTAAGGGCACACCCCGTGATGAGTGGACCGCTCAACACGGGTGTGAGGTTAAGCAGTCGTGTGAAGGACATGACGGTTCCTCGGGTCAGCCCAGTACCAGAGCGCCATGCATCAGCTAAGAATTTATGAAAGTCACCTTTGATTGCTGGGAAGACCCATTCTCAGCCCCTGCCTTCTTTTG